GGGTTTCGATTCTATAATGGTTGTTGTGGACACGTTCAGTAAAATGGCCCATTTTATAGCTTGCCGAAAAACTTCGGACGCAGTTTCCATTGCTTCCTTGTTCTTTCGTGAAATTGTGCGCCTACACGGTATACCAAAATCCATTGTATCCGATCGGGACATAAAATTCCTTAGTCACTTTTGGCGGACTTTATGGAAAAAGTTTGATACTACACTAAAATTTAGCACTACGAGCCACCTGCAAACATATGGACAAACAGAAGTAACTAATCGTTCGTTGGGCAACCTCCTTCGATGCATTAGTGGGGATCGTCCAAAGCAATGGGACATGGCACTTGCACAGGCAGAGTTTGCTTTCAACAATATGAGCAACCGAACACAGGGAAGTGCCCATTTGAGGTTGTATATACTAAACTCCCTAGGTTAACTGTAGATCTCGCTAATATTCCTTTTTCTGTTGATTTTAGTGTGGAAGCGGAGGAAATGGCAGCCCGAATTACTCAACTTCATGAAATATTGAATGTTCTATAATGTATGATAAACAAATATCAGGGTATACATAATATAAGCAAATTTTTTAATGTTATATAGTGCAGCGATTAGAAGTAGTTGTATATATGTTGAAATAATACTTTCGGCCATACGACAATTGTTTGATACTTTCTTATATATATATGACAGTTTTAAATGACTTATTTTAAATTTAATTATAATTATGTAGCTGCAGGGGATCGGACATTAGAAAAGGACAGAAAAAAAATGAGCAAAAGAAGTCAAATTATAAGGGATAGCAACAATTGGAGATATCAAATGCCAAGTACAAGGCCGTTGCAGATAAAGAAGCGACGATTCAAAGAATTCCAAGTGGGACAATGCTATACTTGAAAGGTTTGGGGAGAATGCTTACAAAATCAGCCTCCCAAGCGATTATAATATCAATCCGGTCTTCAATATAGCGGATATTCACCCATTCCACCCCCCTGATGAGTTTGATTTAGCGGCTTAACTCGAGGACGGGTTTTTTTTATTAGGTGGGGGAAATTGATGTAGCCGTTTATGGCTTTGGGTAGTTTAAAAACAAAGCTTTAATGACATAAGCTTAGTTGTAGGTTTTAAATCCTTTTACCGTGTGGTAACTATAGGTTACTAGTGTTTGTTATGTTTTGCTAGTTATAGTCCCTATATATAGGAGTATTCTTCGGTTAATAAAAGGTAGATTGAGATTTTCTTACTTTGATCAAGAGAATCTTCGTCAGAAAGCCTTCGTTAGCACCAAGAGCGAAGACCACACTTCAAAAAGAACCAAGTAGAAGCTAGGGACACAAGAACTAAACTGCATCCGAATGCTAATAAAAAGTAATCACGAAATCCTAAGCCTCAATGCTGTCTTCAAAAACCTCCAAATATAAATCACCATAAGCCAATTCTCATCTTACAAATTCTACACGTTCCATGATCATTTCTTTCTTGCTTGAAGAAATAATCTTGAACTGGGGTTTGCATTGAGATCAACATAATGATTTTCGAACCACACTAAGCAAGAGAAATGTAAAGGCAATAACACATTCAATTCAATAACTTCAATTAAAAAAATTATCATTTTATGAGATAATACGAAAAATGCTTATTCTTAACTAAGAAGTACAAAGGACACTTGAAACTAGAAACTGACCTAATGGGTTGATTCTAAGGAAGGACGGGGACCTATGAGAGGAGAGAGAAGAGAGTGTTCTCTCAAAAAGCCATTTTCTCCCCTCGTCTCATTCAAGGGACACCTCCAACTCAACTAAAAAAAAGGTAAGCTGCCCTGACAATCGACACTCTACCCTTCTTGCCATTGAAAGCATTCCGGATTTGTTCAAAATGCATTTCCCCAATGCCCGAGTGATGGAGACTCACTCAAGAAGTAAGAGAAATCTCAATCTATCTTATTAAATGTGGAAAACCCCTCCTATTTATAGGGAGATCCAAACCAAGAAGCTATTAACAACTAAAGGTAACTTTGAAGTTACTACACAGTGAAAGGGTCCTTTAAAAGAACTACAAATATAAGCTAGACTTAAAAACTAAACAAGCTACCCAAGGCCATACGGCTACATCAATTTCCCCCACCTAAAAAAAAAACTCGTCCTCGAGTTTTAATCAACTAACAAAAACTCATCGGGGGGATAGAAAGGATGAATATCTGCTACATTGAAAACGGGGCTGATGTTGTAATCCAGCGGGAGGTCTATCTTATAAGCATTCTCCCCAAAACATGCAAGTAAAGCAAAAGGACCAAGCTTCCGTTTCTTCAATTTATTATAAGTTCCAACGGGGAATCGATTCTTCCGCAAGTGAATCATTACAAGATCCCCAATCTGATATTCCTTGAATCGTTTCTTCTTGTCTGCCATTTACTTGTACTTAGCATTTGACAGCTCTAAATGTCGACGAACTTCTTCATGGAGCTGTGTAATCCGAGTTGCCATTTCCTCTGCCTCCACACTAATATCAAAATTAACAGGGAGATTAGATAGGTCAATAGTTATCTGAGGGAGTTTAGTGTATACAACCTCAAATGGGGACTTCCCTGTAGTACGGTTCTTCATGTGGTTAAATGCAAATTCAAATTGTGCTAGTGTCATATCCCACTGTTTTGGACGATCTCCGCTAAGGCATCGAAGCAAGTTTCCTAATGAATGATTTGTAACCTCGGTTTGCCCATCCGTTTGTGGATGGCTAGTAGTGCTGAATTTTAGTGTAGTATCAAAATTTTTCCACAAGGTTCGCCGAAAATGGCTAAGGAACTTGACATCTCGATCAGATACTATGGATTCTGGGATACCATGGAGACGTACAATCTCTATAAAGAATAATGTAGCAATAGAAACTGCATCGGAGGATTTTTTACAAGCTACAAAATGAGTCATTTTACTGAATCTATCCACTACCACCATAATGGAGTCAAAACCCCTTTGTGTTTTGGGAAAACCCAATATAAAATCCATAGATAGGCCCTCCCAAATATCTTGTGATATCGGTAGGGGGATGTACAGCCCTACATTTTGTGATGAGCCCTTATATGATTGACAAATATAACATCGGTGAACAAAGTTTGCAACATCTTTTCGGAGTTGTGAACAAAGTTTGCAACATCTTTTCTGGAGGGATGAAGTATGTTTGGTTTGTTGTTCCGAAGCTTTTGACTACCAACCCAAGAATAGACATATCCTTATGTATGAGAAGTTGTTTGGCGGAAGACAGAGCAAACAAAGTGCCAGTTTTGTGTGTACCTTCTTTAGAAGGCTGCTGAGATAAAGGAGGGATAGGAAGTAAAACGACCTTTTTTCCCATCCAACTGAATTCATAGCTATTACTGTGTCCGTTATGGATCGTTTGGGTATCATATTGCCACGGTCGACCCAATAGGATGTGGCAAACATCCATATCCAACACATCACATATAATTTGATCCTTGTAACTTGTCCCAATAGACAGGGGTACCGTACACGTATGTGTTACCTGAACTTCCCCCCTTTTTTGATCCAAGAAACTTTGTAAAGATTCGGGTGAGGTGTTAGTGGCAACTGTAGGGCTGTAACAAGTTTACTTGCCACAATATTTTCTGTACTCCCACTGTCAATGATGATATTACAGACTTAACCTTGAATGGTGCACCGGGATTTGAATAAAGCATGCAGTTGGTGGGCAGGCTCAACCTTTGGGGTGATGAGAAGTCGTTGGATGACACAATTAATCGGATCCCCTTCATCAGGGCCAAGGTAGCTCACTTCATCGTCTTGGAGATCCTCCTCACTACACTCCAATTGATCATCCTCTTCGACAAACGTAATCGCATTTCGTTGGGGGCATTCATTGGAGAGCGAGGGAAAACAAACTAAAGAAGAAATTTGCTGGAGAGAGAGGGAAAACCTAGAGAGCATTTTCCTACTGCTTATTAGGCTTCAGAATTTCCTAAAACAAGCTTTCTCTATTTTAAGGATGATATTCTTACCATACCACTCTTATAGCTCTGTGGAGAAGTTTTTTGTAATCCACCTTTAGTGAGCTCCTCACCTTCCCCTTTTGTAATTTCATTTAATCAATGAAATTCCTGTCTCTTCATAATGAAAGAAAGAAAGCAAAGGGAAAAGAAAGCAAAGGTTTCTTGGGGATATAAGGTAAAGCAAGAAGACATTTTATTTTGGGGTCTAGTTTTAAGGTGTTGGCCAGAGTTATATGTTGTTTTTAGTTTTTCTTGAAGATATGTTAAGTGTCTTTCGTTCTAAGTCATAAAGCCTATTTTGGGAATTAATGATTGCTGCAAAAGAAGATTTAGTTTCTTATTTTGTTTTTGCAGTTCATGTATGTCATCCATACTTTTTCATTTTAGGTTTTCTTTTATATTTTATATTTTTTTATGAGAAACGTTCTACAATGTCATTGATATGATATATAAAAAAGAAAGAGAGAAAACAAATCCCATGCTTAGGGAGGCTACAAAAAATACCTGCCAAAAAGAGAAGATAAACTGGAACTACGAAAATAAGATGAATTTTTAACCAGAGAGAGCCAAAAAAGATAAATCATCCATGAAGCTATCCAAGGATTTTTCTTCATCTTTGAAGATTCAGTTGTTTCTCTCGGTCCAAGACCAAAGGAACGCTAATAAAGTTGACTCATAGTAGCTTCTTTTCTCTGCAAAACAGGTGATCACATAATGAGACGGCAAGCATGTCCCAAGTGTATCCATTGGAATGGTGGTGTACCAACCGACTGAGGGAATCATCTTATCCCAAAATGATTCGGGGTTCTCTTAATGTTGTTGGGTTGGGAATTCTACGTATCTCCATTTTCTTTCTTTTGGTATTCTTGCGGGTGTATATTTTACTCCTAAAGGGAGGTCAATACTATGTGTAATGGTGGTGGGTAACTTTTCAAAAATTCAATGAAAAGTTTACTTTCCTTTTCAGAAAAAGAATACTGCAGATGGAGAAAAGTGTGTACAGCATACATACCTTGAATTGTTTGTTCGACTGATTTGATTGGATTTTTTCTTCACAGCACTGGGCTTACCACTGTAGTAAAAACCAGTCAAGTCAAGTGCTTGACTTGCCACAGCACCCAAGACAGCCAAAACGTTGGCAGCCTTGCTATAATCAGCAAAGAAACCAAAGCATTAAATCAGAGAAAAAAAATGCAAACAGATAAAATACAAACTGTATTAGGAGGTTCTTTGTACATCAACAAGCAGAAAAATCACCTTTTAGCAAATTTATGGAAGTCCCAGTGGATAAATTGAAGATGATTTTCTTCCGAAAGAATTTGGTTCAGATACCCAACCGCACTTGCAAATTCACGCCTCAGCATCATTTCTCTAGGCCTTTTCTCAACAGTCTGCATTTTTCATCTTTAACAAGCATCAGGAGAACAAATAATAAACAAACTAAAATCCAAGAAATTGACAATTATATACTCCTCAGTCTTCTTTTTTTTTTTTTTCAATAAAACCCAGAACAATCTTTTCATTAAGAAATTGAAAAGTTACAAAGTATCATCCTAATAGGATCCAAACAAACATCAAGCCTGTCCCCTGAAACCTTCCCAACACCAAATTACATGCATCACTCCCACCCAAAAAGAAATGAAAAATGCACGCAAACCCAAGAGGAGATTCTTCGTGCAGCGATTTTTTGAAGTTTTGTTTGGGAATGAATGGCTCTCTTTGGCTTTGATGAACTTCTACTTCTTTGATGGTGTCGGATTGGGATGGTTCAAGGCTGGATCTACCTAAAGCTTATTTATTCTTTCATGTCTTTTATAATTCTTGTTTCATTTGGGATGCTATTCCTCTTTGGTTTCATGTTTTCCTTTTTCTTTACTCTCTCTTTCTCGGGAGTTCGTATCCTTGGAACAATTTTGTTCTTTTCAATTTTGTTCACATTCATTAATAAAAGACTTGACCGAAAATAAACCAGCGTCTTCTAAATTCCACTGCCAACAATCATCAGTTTTGGGTTATCAAAAAAAACAAAAAAACAAGACAAAAAAATCATCAGTTCAGGAAATTCTCATCTTGTCCATCATTTTCAGAAAATTGCAATAGTCTTCCACCTCGTCCTCCTTTAAATTTATTCTAACAGCCACTGCCCGTGAATTAACTGTCGGATCCCATATCTCACTTCTGCATCACCATTGACTGAAATCTTGAAAATTCTTGAGAATAAATTGCAAAATGATTGGCCTTTTACCCATTTATCGTTCTCCAAACTAAAACCCTCACTCCACCGAGGAATAACTTTCTAAGGGAACTTTCAATTTCATCACATTCCTCCAAATACATTGAAAGAATCTCGCTCTCTTTCTGTTAAGAGGGAGACGCACAGTAGAAGCATCGGGGCAGTCCAGGGAATTGAAAGAGGTAGTTGCTAACATTCTTCGTTGGATTGCAAATTTGGGACTAGTTTCTGTTTGGTGAATTTTTCGGTAATAGATTTTTTTTGCTTTCTGTTTTTTACAAAAGGAGGAAGACATCCAATCCAACTATTGTAGTCAGAAGAGATAAAAACTAGGGCAAAATATACTTTTGGTCCTCGAATTTGGAAGGAGTCTGTTTGGTCCCTGAAGTTTCAAAAAGGATAGTTTTGATCTTCTGTCCCCAAAGTTTGAGAAATGGTTTTAAATGGTCCTTGAGCTCCATTGACGAGGTAGTTAAATTGCTCATTTTTTTAACAAGTAACGAGACTTTTCAATGATGAGAAATGAAAAGAAACAAAAGTTCACCTAACCAACTCACCGTCCTTTTTGGCTGCTTTCAAATGGATGGGAGAAATTACAGCATTCAAAACAATTACTACTGGATTGGGTGCGACGGTGACCGTTTTCTCATAAAAGACTCTAGGAAGAATATTCATATTTCTCTTCCAATGGTTAGAAAAGGCTTTTGGTGGAACTTCTGCATTGCCCTTTGTATTCAAGATTTTCCATGCAAGTTATGGATGGGAATGGAACTTGTCGACTCCAGAAAAAGAGACTCTTGAAAGGCTGGTTTTTGGAATGGGTTGTTTGGCCCTCTTCGGGGGGAAGAAAATTCATAATTGTACCTGAGGTTTTCGAGAAAAGAAAAGGGAGCAACTCTTCTTGGGTTCCAAAGGAACATGAAGTTGTGGAAACAGATTGGGATAATGTCATGGTTATCTCAAGGTTTTGCGCGCAGGATAGCTGGAAGGCAATTGCTGCCTCCCTCAAAAGTTTCTTCTCGAAAAAATGCCAAGTTAACTCTTTCTTGACAGATAAGGCTTTATTTAGATTCGAAAGTGGAACACCCTTGAACTTTGATTGGCTCAATGGTAAATGGCGCAAGTTAGATGGATTTCACGTGAAGATGGAGAAGCGGGATCTTGAAAAGCATGGCAGGAATGAATTGACAGTTTGCTTTGGTGGCTGGGTGAAAATCTGCGACTTACCTTTAGAGCTTTGGAACACAAATTGCTTCAAGGCCATTGGAACACATCTTGGAGGTTTGAAAAAAATCTCTTCAGCAACACTAAATCTGTTAGATTGTTCAGCAACTTTCATTCAAGTAGAGATTAATGATTGCGGCTTTATTCCGGCTTCTATCGAGATAACTACGAAACGTGGAGTGTTTGTGGTAAATGTGGTTGCCTTAGATGAAGCTTCCAAGCCATCTTTCCCCTCCGTTAAGCTCTCAAAGACTTCATTGTTTGCAGATTCTTCAAATCCTTTGGATATCGAAGATTGTAAGAAGTCTTGGCAGACGAAGAGTTTCATTTTGGCAACGTTTCTAATAAGGTTAACTTGGAAAAGCATCTACTCAAAACGCACCAATTGGTCCAAACAATGTGCCGAGTCAGTTGAGCACCCCTATGGTCGGAGAAGAAATGGGCATTGGTCAAGAAGTGGGCATTATTGGCCCTTCTGTTTTTCAAGAGCTAAATGCAGAAGCTATTTCAAACCAAAGGTCAAAGAGCAATTCGTTTCCACCGGGTATGAAGAATACTGAACGATTAATTCAACCCCTTCCTTTTTACTACTCTCGTAGAAAGCCTAATTCTAATTTTGGAAACGAGCTTGCAAAGCCCTCAATAGTTGAAGGGGTTCAAGTTAACCTTAATAAGGCTTTCTTTGAGGAACGAGATGTAGTTAGTAAAAATTGTTTGGATAAGGTAAATGTTCTGTCCATTGGCACTATCCACTCCACTAACGAAGGCTTGCCTCTCCGATCATCTTCTATAGAATTCTCAGATAATGATTTTGAAGATGAGGATGGCGCAATCAATATTAGTAGTTTAGACTCTTCTCCAAAGTCAGACATCCCAATTGAGGACTTTTCTAAGCATTCCTATGCGGACGATTTTCAATCCTTATTTAACGAGCAAAAAGAAGATGAGAAACCTGTTCTCCCACAGCAAACAACCATTTCTTCCTTTTTTGAAGAATTGAGGATTACTCAGTGTTTTCAAGGCGCGCCCAGGCGCTCGCCTAAGGCGATGGGCGAGGCGTTTTGGTTGAACGGCACCGAGGCGAGCGCCTTCAATTGGGCACTCGCCCTTGTGCGCCATGGCGCCATTGCCATAAGGTGAGGCGAGCGCCTCTTCAAAGCAAGGCTACTCTTTTTTTTTTCTTTCTGTTATAATGCTAAAATCTCATGAAAGAACCCCTAAAAATATGAAAACCCACACCCAAAGATTGAAATACCCACACCTGAAAACTTTCCTCCTTCACCACTACTGCTTCTTCCTTCATTGCCACCATCGCCACAGTCTTTGCTTAGTTCTTGCACGATTATGAAGTCATCTCCTTCTTTGTAGACAGCCAAAAGATCTAGTCTCACTCACCAATGAACAGGTTGTGCTCGGGAAAGAAGTAGAAGAAGAACTAAAGAAGAAGAATAAGAAAAGAGGAAGAAGTAGAAGAAGAATTAAAAAGTAGAATTAAAGAGATTTTGGTATTTGAGGTTTGGTTGAGTCATTTCCTATTCCCTTTTATGTTTTCAAGGCACTAATTGCATGCAATTACTTTGCCATCTGACAGGAAAGAGTGAAACAAATTCTTTTATTTAAGTTAATTTATGATTTAAATTTTATTTCATTTTACTATTCTATTTAACCACTAATTTTATTAATATCTTTTTAAATTTAAATTTTTTATTTTACTTAATTATTTAAGTTAAAATTTATTTGTACATTAAATAGATTTAATAAATATTTTCATCAAGATTATTTTTAATACATAAAATTGCTATATATAATATTTATTTATTATTTTATTAAGTGCGCCTCACTTCACTCAGGCGATGCCTTTTTGTCGCCTCTCGCCTTAAGGCGATAAGGAGGCTTGTCGCCTTGAGGTGCGCCTTGCGCCTTGAAAACACTGGGATTACTCTTGTCCCAATTGAGTCTGTTCTCTGAGTTTTAAGTTGTTCGAAATGTTGAAATGTCCTTAATTATGTCTTACGCAGATTTTAAAGCTTTGCAGTTTTAGTTCGGTTGGTTGGTTGATAAGGTTTTCAAAGTCTTTCTCCAGCGTGTGGTTTGACATTTAGCGGTTTATATTTGGAGGCTTTTTTAAGACAGCATTGAGACTTTGTATTTGACGTTTTCTCCTTATTAGCACTTTGGCTGCGATTTGTTCTTGTGCCTTATCTTCTACTTGGGTCTTTTTGGAGTTCGGTCTTCGTTTCTTGGTGCTAAGGAAGGTTTTTCCCTTATGCGGTTGTTGTCCTTGGATTTAGTTTGTTTTCCCAAGCTCGGCAGCATGCAGTTCTTCTGAGTTCTGTTTTAGAATGTTTTTATCTATTTTGAACTTGTATTGCTCTTGCTACGATATTTATTCGTTATTTTTCTATTCTTCTCTCTTTTCTTTTCTTTTTTCACCCCCTTAGGGGTTTTGTATCTTGAACATTTTTCATTTTCATATATCAATGAAAAGTTGTTTCTTGTAAAAAAAAATGATACAATTCAAAATTGGGGAGAAAATGAAAACTAAAAGGACAAAAAAAAAATATATATATATATATATTAGAGAGAATGAAGTGATAAATATCTCCCAATTCATACAAATATCTAAAATAAAAACAAGGCATGCCAAAGGAGTCTTTTTGCTTCCTTCAAGTTGGGGCAAGAGAAGATCCAAAGCTCGAAAAGCTGCAACAAGATTCTTCTACACACACAAAACCCTCCTCATCTTCACATTCCATCTTCATCAAAATAACTTTCAGAAAACAAGGCTTTGTATTTCATTGAAAATTTGGTGAATTCTTCAGCAAGCTCCTTCTCATAATTAGCTGGAATCCCCAATTTTCTGGCCTAATTGAAACTTGCTCAGGAAGAGAATTGAGAATCCAATAAAGAATGCTGGAAGGCTTAAGACTACGA